TCGAAGAAGAGGGATCAAAGAAAATAAAATTGTAAGAAATCAGAGGGGAAAGTAAAACTAGAGTCGAATGAAAAAAAATGACAAAAAAAAAACAAGGTAATACCAGCATTAGAGTTAGGTTAGGGTCAGCATTAAGACTTGATATCAATGTTTTTAGCATTTTTAGCATCGTATAACTTTATTGCAATAAATTACGTGATAAAAAGCGATTTTTTGTGGTACACAAAAAATCTTAAGTTCATTTAGTGCTTACGATATGGTTAGGCAATTTTTGAAATCTAGTCTGCAATTTCCGGGCCGAATGGTACGTACGGCATGATCGATACGTGACACGATCTGCAATTTCCGGCCCGAAACATCACGTGATATTCAGCATCAGCCAAATTCAGTCACATTTATTTAGAATTTCGTTTAACTTATATCGGTTTAGAGTTTCATTGGAATATCGGAGGTTCGGATTTTGAACAAAGCCAAACCGTTTCTGATCATCAGAAATATCATCATATAGTTCTGATAATGTCTGATATTTCATGTATATTTATCCAAAGATCCATCAATTTTTGATGAAATTATTGTTGATAACTTAGAAAAAGATACCAAATTATCCATTACAAGAGATGGTACAATCGATGTTATAGGTTTGCCTCTAAAAATTCTTTTTTTATTTTATTTTCATCGTCGGTGTTCTCTATTTCTTTAATCCATATAGAAATTAATGCATTAACATATTGCTAATTCCATATAACAATCAGGCGTACTAGATGTAAATTCTGGTCTTAGTCCGACACAAATTTTTACCGCAAGCTCTTTATCAAAATTATAGCCATCGAAAACCATCCTTCCAGTTGATATTTTCATCATAATAATTCCAAGACCCAAATCAGTAATATACGCATTATCCAATTCGTCTTGTAAAATGTTTCCACTATGAAGATCTCGATGTTCTAATCCTTTGAATGAATTGCTTCAAGATCAGATGTTATGTAAATGCTCTATTTCAAAATAAGAAGGTAATTTCCCGAATCATCTCTTGAAAGACCGTAGCATTTTAAGAACAATGGATTTTTATATCCGATCTCACAAAACGCTTTTAACTTTTTTAGTTAGACATAATTCAAATTGAACGAAAATTCGATAAATTTACTTCGTTAAAAAAATCTTGATTATGAATTTTTTTAATTACGAACGAATATTTATGAGAAGAACTATATATTAATTTGACATTTAGCAATTGCAAACCCTCCCTTCCCGATCATTTCAATATTTTCAAATTTATAGTTTTTGGTCCATAATAATTGGTATCTCTTATCGTTCAATATTTTTTTTACGTTATTATTACAGCTGTTTTCATTATTTTTGGGATATCTGAAAAATTTTTTGACGGCCGAATCGACAAGTTAGATACCAAATGATTTACTATAATAGTGTATTATATGATTGCCCCACTATGTAAGATTTTTAAAATTTTGTCGTTAAAAATATTTTATTATAATAAAACAATGTATTTTTAAAATGTTGTAACTCCCTTTCTAGTAAAGCAAATTCGTTTCTGTAACTTGTGAATGATAAAAAAATAATGTGATTTTAAAACTATGTTGCTAATATATAAATTTTAGTATATAGGTCTCTATAACTTAATCGTTTAAATAATACTATTAAAACGTTCTAACTCCCGTTATAGTTGAGCAAATTTAATTCTGTAACGTGTAAATGGCGTATAAATAGCGTGCTTTTAAAACTATGTTACCATATTTAATATTAATATGTAAATTTTACTAGTTCTCTATAACTTAACCGTTAAAATAATTATTAAAATTTATTAATTCGCCAAATTAATAAAATGAAATGAAAAGAAAAATAACTCACCATAGTTTTTTAAAAATAGAATCTTAAATAGTAGCCAATCATATTATGATAGTAAATCATTTGATATCTAATACCCACTGACGTCGACCGACATCAAAAACTTATCAATTCGGTCATCAACAATTTTTCAAGTGTCCCAAAAATAATGAAAGCAGCTGTAATATCAAATAATCAATTTTTTTTATATCTATTTTTATTAAACCAATAAATATAATGATTCAATAAATGGAATAAAGATCGAAAAAAATACACTGAAATTTGGTTTCCCCCTATTAATTATTTTCCAAAAAAAGAAACTTACATTCGAAACCAAAACTCAGCCTCCTTTAAATCCTTTTTTGTTCCAATACTATTTCAGGAACAATATCTAACATTTTTTATTAAATCAATATCTCCCAGTTTAGCAGATTTCAGATACAATTCAAAAGCTTGTTATGATAATTTAATCTGACTGCGCTAAATCACCTGCGACCTAATGTTCCAAAATGTTCCTTGTAAAATTTTATTAATAAATATTGTTCTAACCCTAACTACACGTCACTCTGGTTATACCGGCGTCTGGATATATGATACGTATCATAGTAAAATCTTTTATACCAATTTTTTTTCTCGAAATTTTTCAAAAATATCGGTATAATTCATTGTATCGACATTTGAATTTTTTTTACTAATGAAAAAATTTGTTGATACGTATCCAGAGTAACGTGTATAGTACGGTTTTATTAATTGATGAGGTCGATATAGTCTAATTAAATTCTGGCAATTTACTATTATAAATACTTTTTTGATTTTACTCAAGCTTGTAGCATTTATCTTTACATAAATATTTCTCTTTTAGATATGTTTAAAGTGATATAACGATGAGGATCATTTATTAATCGACGTATGCGATAATTTGTTATTCTAACGATGAATCCACAAATCATAGTTTAGAAAATAATACGTATAATATATATACATAGTATTATGATTTTTTATTCGTTTATGGAGTGAATTCTATGAGTTCTTCTAATTACAGTTAATATGACGAAACTTTTTGCCAATCAATTCGTTATCAACAAACTGAAACCAAATATAAGGCGTAAACCTTTATGCTTTCTCTTTCATGTTATAAAAAAATTAGTCCGTGTAAAATTAATTGTTTTGCTTGCATTATTATATTATCCATTTCTAATTTTTTTCTTTTTTTTTTTTGATACACTTATCCCGACATACCTGTTACTTGAGGCTTAGCCTCACTGAGATATCTGAGGTAGAGGTGGAAAGTTGATAAAAACTTAAAACATCGGGACAAGCCGTGACATAACTAAGTTATTACCTATTGTCGTATTTGATTTTAAATTACGAGATGTCTTAATATTCGTATTTACTTTATGTCGAGCATATCGTAACTTTTTTTATACAGCTTTTCATATGTCATAACTTTATAGTTTTTACAAATAAACTATATATTATTGTTACAAATTATTAATTTACTTTGGAAATATATTTAAGAAGTATTTATTATAAAGTTTCTCTTGAAAGTAAAATTTTTAATTATAATATTTAATACATATTTATTTTATTATTTGTTATTCGTACGTACGTAGCAGTCGCAAATAGAAAATCTGGGACAGGGTTACACCAAACTTCGAATTTCAAAGATTACAGTACTGTATTAAATATATAATAAGAAATAATTTATTCCTCACCCGGGTGAATAATTACCCTTAAGAAACAATTCACAGCCAACCACTAATAGATTTAGAGTTAGGGGTTAGGGTTAGGGTAAGGGGTAAGGCTGGGCTGGGTAAAATTGCGTGAGGGCCTTTTTTGGGTTTGGGTTTGTTTTAGAACCCGAAGGTGGTTTTATTCGTAAAATTTAAAATCTTATAATGTAGGTGAAAAATATCAAAAATCATCTTGGGTGAGGAATAAATATACTCTACTTTAGCATAATATGTACAGTATGTAAATAAATATTATTCATATTTTAATAAAGGGCCACAAATATTCAGTTTGGATTTTTTTTTAATTTGAAATTTTCAGATGTTACCGTGAGAGTGAAAATCAGGAAATAAAATTTATGATTGGTTAAATTTTATTTCCTGGTTTTCACTCTCATGCACTCATGCACTCATATCGATATATGAATTGATTATCGAAATTCGGAGATTGGCAGATTTTCTACGTATGCGCCATGTAATTTATAATATATTTGTTATATAATTATTGTAGTTTTACATATATTTTATAGTATAGTTTTAAACCGGAATTGCGATTTTATTAAATTTAAGTTAATGCAATTAACTAAAGTTACAAACTACAAATCTAATTAAAGTTACGATGCTATGGTCCATACGGCTTTTACCGTAACTAGCACCTTATCAATGCATGATGCTTAATTGTTACATTATTAATATTATTAAAATCACTTCGGATGTCAACGTTTTACATAAATTATAACATGTGACGACTAATTATCATGCAGTTACAAGGTGCATGATGCGCCGTACGTAACCATAATTAGTCATACCATAAAATTCATTGGGATGCAACTACATAACACAAATAATTGGTATTACACAAATTTTCATACAGAACGAAACGCGTAGAAATTTCTCTGTGTACTACTAATAACAAATATAGAAAACGGACAAACGCTCATGACCGGCATTGTATTCTTTATTATGGATTAGTGGGCTTTATTTTACCAAATTGGGTAACTGTGTTACAATCGTTCTTTACAACTTACGCAATCACACATGAAACTTCTGCCACATTTACTGATTTAAATAAAAATAAATATCCGCATCCAATAGGAGTTTTCACCCAACACTTAACATTTATTCAATGTGTTCAAAATTAAGAGGATAAACATCCATCGCCACAACAATATAAAAATATCGAATGAAGACTAATTAAATTTCATGCCTCCAGAAGAAACATTTCCTTATGAACAAATCTACCGAACAAAGTATTAAGTCTTTAATGACATCACTAAGGAAGATTTTGCTGAACTTGTTTGTTTTTTGGAACAATTTAGGAATAATTAAATTTTACGGAGTGAAATCTTAAGGGGAGGAAAATGTTATAAAACAGATTTTAGCATAGCGTAACGTAGTGTAGCGTAGCATAGATTTCATATTTTATATTTGTATATAGGTTTTTAAGAGAGAAAATTTGAGTAGACTATCCGTAAATTAAGAGACGTGATGAGTTTGTTAAAAAAAAAGGTATATAATTATCTAGATGGGAAAGAGTCTTATCACGTTTTTTTAGAAAAGGTTTTCCTAAAAAAATTAGAACAATTATATCCCAGATTACTTAATTTCATTTACGTATTATCTGAAATCTGCCGAGGCTGGGAATTCGGAAAACTGCCATTGCGTTTTCATATTATCTAAAGTCTGCTGAGGCGGGTAATTCTGGGTATTTGGAAAACTGCTATTTCCATTTAAATATTATCGAAGTTCGCTGAGGCTGGTAATTCCAATGGAATTCGGAAAACTGCCATTTCCGTTTGCAGATTATCCGAAGTTTGCTGAGGCTGGTAATTCTGAGAATTTGGAAAACTGTTATTTTTATTTACATACTATCTGAAATCCGCCGAGGCTGAAGTCTGGAATTCGGAAAACTGCCATTTTTTCGTTTATATATTATCTGAAGATTGGGTGGGAATTTGGAAAACTGTTGTTTTCTATCTCGAGAGTGATTTCTCTGGAATAACTACACGTTTTTCGACGTACACGACGTACTTTATGCTATTATGATTATCCACCTGAGTTATTCTATTTCGTTTATAAAATTATCCGAAGTCTGTTGAGGTTGAAATTCGATGGGAATTTGGAAAACTGCTATTTGTTACAGACTTGGAAGAAACATAAATACTTATTCACCATTACGTATAAATAGTTTCTTTCGCATTATTAGTATAATGCTTGTTAATGGCAAACAGAATAAGAAGTGACGGGTTGTGATAGGCATGAATGTAGCACATGTAACATTTATTTGCAACTTGACACGAATATACGGTAGTAAGCTTAATTTATATGAATTGATTCAAAATATTGAATCGAATGAAATACTTTATTTCAATCACACAGAAACAAATGATTACTTGGAGTGGTATTCAAATACAAAAACAAACGGGTGTATTACGAAATACGCAGATAATGGAAGCCTTCATATCACAGAAACAAATGAATACTTGGGGTGGTGTTCAAATACAGAAACAAACGAATATTTTTGGGTGTATTTAAAAATACGCTGATAATGGAAGTCTTCATATTTCAATCACAGAAACAAATGAATACTTGGGGTGGTATTCATTTTAAAATACGCCGATAATGGAAGTCTTCATAAGTTTTTAAGAATGAAGTTTCGAGATCTTGTCTACGGTAAAGAATGTAAATAGGCGGGCAGAAAAGCCTATTATCGCAGAGGACCCGAGCGGAAGTTACCTCAATATAACCTCCAGGCCTCCATTGTTTTTCTTGTAAATCAAAAAACCTCCAGGTCTAAAAATTCGGATACATTCCCGAATCAAGGAATCCCATTCTTTATCTCTTAAATCAAAAAACCTCGAACGCATTCTTGAATTAAGGAATCCCACTTAGAACTCGAACGCATTCCCGAATCAGGGAATCCCATTCCTTATCCCTTAGATCAAAAACCCCCCAGGCCTTAGAACTCGAACGCATTCCCGAATCAGAGAATCCCATTGCTTATCTTTTAAGTCAAAAACCTCCCAGGCCTTAAAACTCGAAAAACTTTACTATGTAAACAATAAAACTCATTCTAATAAACTAGCATTTGCCCAAAGTTGATTTCAATGAATCCCAATTTTTGTCTTGTAAATCAAGAACTTCCGGGCTTTAAATCTCTGATACACTCCTGTATCAATGAATCCCACTGTTTATCTCGTAAATCAAAAAACCTCCAGGCTTTAAAACTCGAACACATTCCCAAATTAGGGAATCCCATTGTTTATCTCGTAAATCAAAAAACCTCCAGACCTTAGAACTCGAACGCATTCCCGAATCCCACTGTAAAATACGTTGCTGGAATTTTACAAAGAAAAATGTATTATTAAACTTTGAAAATAAAATCACACATTTTATAGTATAAATAGTTCTGACTTAAATGAAGTACGAAAATATGTACCTGATTATCCTTATGAAGTCACTTATAAACACAACTTGGGGAAGTTGTTAACAAAATTCGATGATGTAAAGAAAAATCCTAAAAGATAAATATTTAATAGAGCGGTTAATAAGATTAAGAATCGATTGTGCGCTTTACCCTGATTTACACCAAGAGTTACCGAAAGATATATTCAGCATTACTATAATCACCTTCTAAATATTTGTAAACGATTCCAGTATGAAAAGCGTGTTAAAGACCCAGTCTACTGATCTCTCTCCTCTAGAAATATTTATTGATAAACTTGATTTTAAATGTATTATGTTTGGAATTACTGTACGTTAATCTCTTGCACTGCTTAAGTTTGCAAGCACCTTTAGCAACAAAGGAAATTTTGTTTTTGACTTAGATCAATATGTTTTACCAAGGGAATTTATTATAGAAAAGTGAATATACATAAATGCTGGTTTCCCGATTTTTCAGGCGAATATATAGTACAGTCAGACCTCCCTAAATGCAACCTCCCTAAATGCAACCCCCCTAGCTGCAATTTACTTATTTGCGCCGGTAACACAAACCAAAAATGAAATCAATTTTGTAAATAAACTAAGTGCGTAAAAATAGAAGTTTAGGATTAGGACGTTAGGGTTGTGAGCTTTAGCGATAAGTTGGAGTTTCTTATATGTAAAATTTCATTCCCATTATTTTTTATTAGTTCACAAATGTCAATTTAAACACTAGTTTTTGAGTATTTTCGCTTTCTTTACTTTTTTTCTTCTTTCGCACGTGTTCGAATTAGAGTTACAGGTAAAACCAATTAATTTCACCAGGAAATTGGTGCACCGATTATGCACCATTGAAGATTAATTTCATCTATAACTCTATTTTTACCATTGGTGCACCATCGGTGCACCATTGAAGATTAGTTTCTTCTATAACTCTAGTTTTACCATTGGTGCACCATCGGTGCACCATTGAAGATCAGTTTCATCTATAACTCTAGTTTTACCATTAGTGCACCAGTTTCTCCAATTTCACCTGGTGAACCATCGGTGCACCATTGAAGATTAGTTTCACCTGCAATTCTAGTTCGAATTCTATGTTGGAATACCCGAAATTTGTGTTCTCTGATTGGCCATTTCCTTTTTAGAGGTTTGTATTACCGGCGCAAATAAGTGTATGCCCCCTAAGTGCACGTCCTATGAAAAGTCCCGTCTTCTCTTTGGTCCAACTAATATTACGCTTATAGGTTTTTACCTCCCTAAATGCAATATCACTCTAAGTGCACGTTTGGCTAAATTTTTCTATATGGTCCCGTCGCATTGCATTTAGAGAGGTCTGAGTGTATATGTTAAAGAATTTATATTTGCTTGTTGCTTAACGCTACTAAATCTTTTGAAATATGTACTTATTTACTTCTAGCACTAAAGACATATTTGAGGTTAGCAATAAAATGGTACTCATTTTGATATGTGTGCTAATAAGGAATTACCTTGAATCGCTATTAATGAAATTGTCTCAAAAATTCCAACTCGGGTCATCCGCGGGTGACCCACCCGGGTGACCCGGGTGAGTCCCAATGATAGAAAAAATTCTACTACGGGTCACCCGCGGGTGGGTCAGGGTAATAATCTAAAATCTTGATATACTTACGTACGTACGTTGTAAAAGTGGTAACTAATAATACAAAGACGAATCTATTTAACCAAACGCTAATACTATAAAGTAATTGACTAAGAAAAATTGAGCCGGAATTACCAGAATTTACTAATAAAATCGCAGCCGTCTATTAAGTGAAATTGTTCCTGGCCATAGTGTGCAATTTTTTAAAAATCTCTATTTTTGTAATGAAAAAAATCAAAAAGTTAATTCCGGTCGGGAAATTAGTAAACAATTTTATAGATCACGGCCGTTAGCTAATCAAAATCGAGAATCTGCCGTCACAATTTTGTTGCGGCAGCTATGGTTAATTGCTATCACAGATCCACGCTCATAGGAAGCATTCATTTAATTGGTCAATTTTTGTAGATCTACCCATGATTTTCCGTGATAATTAACAAATCACAATGCATAGTTTTTAAGAACTAGAAAACTCACATAAAGAAGCTTACAAACTAATAAATACGCATAATAAAGAATTTATCACATATTTAGGAATAGATAGACACGCGTAAAGTGTAATAGATTAATATTTATTACCAAAAAATTTAATATGCAAATAAATTATTTGCGAAATATATTTACTATCATTATATTTTGAAAAGTAGTTAAAAGTAATTTAATTTATTTTTAATAATTGTGACCTTTATTAGATATGCAATATGACCTTTAGCCTATATAATTATTAAACAACAATGCTCATATACCCATACCTACTACTTAACACAAAATTATACTTACTAATATATTTAACTCTATAATAGAATACATAAAATATGACATTAATACAAGCTTATCATTATTACAATAGCATGTTAAACAGTATACACTAAGTTCTTTAAGTTGAATCTTACATAAAATGTCTCAATATTAATTTTTTGTTGACCATTTCCAGTATTTAGAACTTACATATAGTAATATAGCTAAGTACTAGCAGTAAATAATAAAAATATTTGCTTCTAAGTAAAGTAAATAAGAAGTGAAATTCTTTTTAGATTCTTTTGTATGGTGAATATTAATATTCATTTAAAGCTAATAATGACTTTTGCAACAATTTTTTATTAGTAAAACATTACATTTTCAAAAAGTACTTTAAAGTGTATAAATAAGTTACCTGGGCAATTGATTTACACCAGCCAATCAGATGAAAGTCCTTTTATGAGATTTACACTATATGACCCATGGGTTAACTAATGGGTAACCTATGGGTTGACTACCCAGGTGGCTATAATTTCAAATTTAGTTATCTACTCACTTGTGGGTAACCTACCTAGGTCAAACTACTAAATAAAATATTCTGTAATATAAAATATTCATTAAATTATCTAAATTATATATAGTCAAACCTCTTTATAATCACACACTTGGAATACAAAAATATATAATTGTAGAGAAAAATAACAGTTATAAAGGTTAAATTTATTATATTTATTAATAGTTTGTTTTTAAAAATATATATATAAAGAAAATATAAAAATATACTTATATAAGTTGAATAATAAGTTTGTCATATAGAGGTGTAGTGACTTAGTGTAGTGGTCTAGTTGTCACCCTCTCCAAGTGGCAGGTCTAGAGTTCAAATCCCATGGATGACGATATTTGAAAAATAGGCCTGTGTTTTGGTTGATGGCTATGTTTATCAGTTGGATCTAGAAAATCTGTAACTTCGGTCACACTATCTAGAAATGGGAGCTTTAGTGCAATAAATCCGAGGAACTGGCATAACTGAAAATCCATTTGGGAAGTCCCGAATTTGGAGTAACAGTGACTTTTGACAGTACTACAGAAAGGCTGAATTCGAACCAGGGTCCAAGATCGATGAACCGAGCGATCAAGTCCTTAAGTGGGGGACATACCAACCAGACCACCAATTCGGAAATACTGAAAATTGACAGATATACACGGTGCATATCAACCAGGTTACTGGCCTGGGAAACCAGTAGCAGGGGGGCCCTACTCCTAGCGGATCTATGGATTGGAAGACACAGGCCACAAGGCACGGGCTATAAGGCATAGGCTAAAAGGCACGGGCCGAAAAAATAGGCTAGGTATGCTGGAAGACTGGGAACTTCCGAGTTGGAGGAAAAGAATGTATGCTATAAAAGGACAGACCAAAGTGAAACAGGGCTAAAGGCACTTAGAGCCGGGCCCAGGTCGAACCTTCCGGGTCGATGGTTGGAAGTAAGGGATGGACCGATTAAGATTCTGGGTAGAAGTCAGTTAGAATATGAGTACTGGGTTGTTGTGAACCATATAAAGGCAGAAGTAAAGTAATGAAGGACTAATTAGAAAGATTGTATTTGAGATATAGATTGTATTACGGCAGCATCCCAAAAGATAGCTTGAGATACAAACACAATGACGGCAGACAATATGTACTAATTGAGAAGTAATTACTGAACAAGCATGCACTATCATATGTGAGACATGTAATATGATATCAGGTTTACTTCAAGGATGATCAAGATAGTTCTAAGGCGGGTTGTAATATATATATAGTTAAAATTATTGTAAAATACTACTAACCCCGATTTAACTATAATAAAATTCATCAACCAAAGAGATCACCTTAAAGGGAAAAAAAAAAAAATAAGTTTGTCATATTATATAGATATTTTAATTATTTTTAAATATACTGTATAGTTTTAAAATTATTTAAATAAATTATATAATAATTATAATATATTAAAAAAAATTTTTAAATAAATTTTAATTAAATAGATTTTAAAAAATTATTCTCTAAAGTTACTAAGTAAAAAGTAATTTTTTTTTTTTCCTTTGATAACCTCATACTAATTTATTAGAATCTTAGTAATTTACAAAAGTAAAAAGTAATTAGAATTTTAATAATATAAAAATTTAAATATACTGATATACAACTCTTTTTGATGATCTCTTATACCAAAATTTACAACTAAACTTTTTAAATAAAATAATAATAAACTATGGTTAAATAGCAGAAAAGCATAAAACTAAGCAGAACTATAAACTGGCACCTGTTATTTAGAGGTAGCTCTCATATACTACCTGCTAACAGGCTTAGAGTTTATTACTCACTATGAGATCAGCACTTGTTATTTAGAGGTAGTTCTCATATGCTATCTTCTAACAAGTTTAGAGTTTATCACCTACCAATTAAAAAGCCAGCAATATACATATCTCTCTGTTTTTTGTTATTTTTA